TGGAACACCTTACTCAGGTCACAGCTCTGATGCCACATTAGGGGAGGAAAGTTGCCCTGAAAGTTGCATCACCATCTATCTAACAAGAGATCAAAGTGAACAGACAGAACAGGACCTGTTACCTTTGAAGGAAAAGCCAGGTGAGGGCCGTGACTTTTGGGACCAGAGTCCCTGCACTGAGAACTTCCTAGATTCAGGGAAGATTGATGCCAAGACATAGAGGATCACCAAGGAACGTGGCACCCACAGATGGGAAAGGAGACAAGAGTATTCTCTTTAAGCTGACAGAGAAAGCCTCCCCTAGAGCCTGCAACCTGAATTCGACATCTAGTCTCCTAAATCCTGAGACACGGTTTGCCTGTCAGTTGGTCATGCTGCGGTGGTTTGTGTGTGTCTGTGATGCCGGAAGCTATGCCACCGTTATTTCAAACACCAGCAGGTCACCCATGGTGGACAGGTTTCAGTGGCTCTTCCAGTCTATGACAGACCAGGACGAGGACGCTCTCAGTGACTGAGTCAGTGGTTACACCGATGGGGTCAAACATAGCAACAGATGTGAGCTTGGTGCAGGGCTAGGCAGAATTCTGATCTGCTGTTTATAGGGTGCTATTTCAGTAAGAGAAGCACTAGGGAACTGACACCCAGCCCATCCCTCTGACTGGCCAGAAGACGTGTGGCCTGTACCTTCCTCACCCTCACTGTGGGGCCAGTGCCCACTGCTGCAGTCACTGGGTCACTTCCATGGATGGTCTCCTTCATCCGATGACTCTGTCATCTCATTGGTCAGAAACATGAGGACAGGGCGCCCCAAGGCCAAGGGCCCACCTCCAATTCCTTCCACAACCAAGAGAGAGAGGCCACACGTTCCCAAGAACCTTCTGATGGTCCTCCGCTGTGGGTCACACCTATTACCAGCAAGGTGCCACCTGCCCTCGCTCCCTGAACAAGCCTGCCCACCAGGTTTGTGGCAGCCAGAGAGTGAGTCCGGGCTGAGGCTGAACCCATTCTGCTCAGACTCTTTTTGTGTTTGGCACTTACCCTCACCAGCTGCTGGGGGAAGGGCCCGCGTGAGTTCTCTGGCACATTGATGGGTGGGATGACCCAGTCCCGTTTCTGCCTTCGCAGGCCATGGGGGTTTGGATGCTGGGACCAAGGCAGCAGCAGTGTGCCGTTTGGTGGCTGAGATGGGTCCAGGATAGCATTCTTCTTTCCTTTCTGTGGAGAAGAGCCGAAAGAGTCTGGTGAGATTCTGCTCAAGCAAACGGCATCTGTTCAGATCTGTTATCCGTCACAGCCAAGAATGGCTGCAGGATTTTGGGAAACATGGTTATGTGTTGGGGTGGGGGTGGGGGTGGGGGCACAATTAAACAAGTCCATCCTCTTTGCATTGAGATGGATTATAGAGTGAAAAAATGGGTGTGGGGGCAGAGAGGGAGAGACAAGAGATGAGAAAGAGAGAGAGAGAGAGAGACAGGTGGAGGGGGAAAGAGAGAAAGAGGGAGAGAGGGGGACACAGAGGGAGAGACAATAAATGTATAAAGAAGAAAAAAATACAGCCAACTCTTTAGCCATGAAGGATCCCTGGTGGTGCAGCAGTAAAGTCCTCAGTAGTTAACCAAGAGGTTGATGGTTCAAACCCACCCTGGTAATCTTCTCCCAGAACCCTATGGAACAGTTGTGGCTCACCTCATGGAATCACTTAGTGTAAGAATTGACTTGAGGGACACAACAATAACATTGAATCAACAGGTGGATTAAGATTTTTAAAGCCCCAAACAATGGTAGAAATCATGAAAGAAAAGGTTAATTTAAATTTAAAACCTGTTTTTATGAAAACATACTCATAACATAATTTACTAAGGGTTAATATTCTTACTAGACTCCTGGTTGGCACTGTAGGATCAGCACTGGACTGCAAATCACAAGGTGAGCAGTTCAAACCCACCAGCTGCTCCTCAGAAACTGTACAGGGTCCCTATGAGTCAGAACCGACTTGACAGGACTTAATAATGCAACAGCAATTGTTATGTGTCTTTGAGTTGGTCCCAACTTATAACTTAGGCATTTAGCACTTGTTATTGAGTTGTTAAGTTCTGTCAAGTCAGTTCTGACTCATAGGGACCCTGTACAGAGTTTCTGAGGAGCAGCTGGTGGTGGGTTTGAACCGCCGACCTTGTGATCCAGTGTTTTGTTCCACAGTGCTACACCAACAACAACAGTCTCACTATATAAAGAGCAAGGAGATCTGGTGGCACAGAAGTTAAGCATTTGACTACTAACCAAAAGGTTGATGGTTTGAACCCACCCAGCAGTACTCTGTGAGAAAACCCTGG